GTATGTATATGTATCGTATGTGGCCTATGTATCGAGGTATGTATCGTACCGTGGCCTATGTATCGAGGTATGTATCTATGTATCGTGGCCTATGTATCGAGGTATGTATCGTACCGTGGCCTATGTATCGAGGTATGTATCGTATCGTGGCCTATGTATCGAGGTATGTATCGTATCGTGGCCTATGTATCGAGGTATGTATCGTACCGTGGCCTATGTATCGAGGTATGTATCGTATCGTGGCCTATGTATCGAGGTATGCATTGTATTGTAGCCTCTGTATCGAGGTATGTATCATTTTGTGGCCTATGTATCGAGGTATGTATATTTGTGGCTATGTATCGAGGTATGTATCGTATCGTAGCGGCTATGTATCGAGGTATGTATCGTACGTGGCCTATGTATCGAGGTATGTAGTGTATGTATCGAGGTATGTATGTACCGTGGCCTATGTATCGATTTTGTGGCCTATGTATCGAGGTATGTATCGTACCGTGGCCTATGTATCGAGGTATGTATCGTATATGTATCGAGTATGTGGCCTATGTATCGAGGTATGTATCGTATCGTAAACTTCTAAAACCCTAAGGAAGACCATTAAGTACATACTTGTCTCAGTGATTGATTGGGAAACCGGCCTTTGAAGTCGCAATTTCCCATAGAAAGTAAACTCACCAGATCGGACCATTTGTGATCCGAAACGTGACGGAGCATGTCGGGAGCGCACACCGTCACAGGCCCATTGACAAAACAGAAAGCCCTGACGTGAGGCTGCAGCGTGGAGCGGAGAGTGGGAGTTTTTTTTATGTCCCCGGGCAGCGCATAGAAGAGTGACTCAGGGTTTCCTGTCGACGCCTGCCCCAACGCGTCCCCCTCGGCACACACCGCACGGGAGAGAAATACAGGTGAGGGGGCGAGGGGGCGGGGCATCCGGATCACCTGAGCGCACACGGACAAGCAGCCGCACGAAAGCTCGGCAGGAGGACCTATCACGGCGGAGAGAGCTAACGTCACGGCCACAAAAAAACGAACAAAGAAAAACAAATCATTTTCATATTTCTCGGGCTTTTATGCTCTAATATATGTGCCAGATGCCCTCCCACTGACTGCGGGGAGGGCGGGCGGTTAATCTGCAGATGTCGGGGTGTGGTTAGATAAATACAGAGGGAAAATGGACCTCATCACTCAGAATTAAAGAAAACATTTGGAATTTTTTTGTCATGGAGATGTTTGTTTTGGAGATGTAATGACCTCGATTCATTATTGAAGCTGTGACAAGGTTGAATCTGGAGTAAAATTCCATATTGGGAATTCTGGCCGCGAGTGTCATAGCAACCGGAGAGCCAATCGGGGGCAGGTAGTTGAAGGGATGACGCTCCCCTCCTGCCCGCATCGCTGCTTTGGCACGCGGAACTTTAATAAAATCTAAAGGTGAACCCAAGATGCCGTTGTTTTGTTTTCAGTGGCCTGTGCTCTTTAAAATAATTTTCTCTTCCGGCATTAACGGTGCGTTTGTTTATCCATCCGTCCCCCACTTGGATATGACATCAAGTTCACGCTTCAATCGTTTTATTATGTTTCGTTTGTCCGACTTGGAGAAAAATGTGGACACCAACCGGAAAGCTGTTGTTGCTTTAGCACTGGCCGAGGACCAGGAGCTCCAAAATAATTATGTGCTTCAACTACACAACCTTGACGAAGAATTCAGTATAACGATTATAATTCAGTACATTAGTGAAGTGAAAGTGCAACAGTGTAACAGATTACATGTACCACAGTTATGTAATCAGAGTACAAATTATGAGTAACTCTATTCAGGTACAGTTACTGTTTCAGTGAGTGGTAATTGGATTACAGTTACTTTGTTGAAATAAGTGGATTACATGGCGGTATTTTCCTGTTTTCACATTTTGGGCTACAGTTTAAACCAGGTCTAAAACCAGGTCTAAACCAGGTCTAAACTAGGTCTAACCCAGGTCTAAACCAGGTCTAAAAACCCAGGTCTAAACCCAGGTCTAAAACCAGGTCTAAACCAGGTCTAAAAAAACCAGGTCTAGGTCTAAACCAGGTCTAAACCAGGTCTAAACCAGGTCTAAACCAGGTCTAAAACCAGGTCTAAAACCAGGTCTAAAACCAGGTCTAAAACCAGGTCTAAAACCAGGTCTAAACCAGGTCTAAAACCAGGTCTAGGTCTAAAACTAGATCTAAACCAGGTCTAAACCAGGTCTAAACTAGGTCTAACCCAGGTCTAAACCCAGGTCTAAAACCAGGTCTAAACCAGGTCTAAACCAGGTCTAAAACCAGGTCTAAACCAGGTCTAGGTCTAAACCAGGTCTAAACCAGGTCTAAACCAGGTCTAAACCAGGTCTAAACCAGGTTTAAACTAGATCTAAACTAGGTCTAAACCAGGTCTAAACCAGGTCTAAACCAGGTCTAAACCAGGTCTAAACCAGGTCTAAAACCAGGTCTAAAACCAGGTCTAAAACCAGGTCTAAAACAGGATTTAACAGGACTAAATCATGCTGCATGGACCATGTTTCCTCCTCCTCTTCTATCAATAATATTTTTAATTTGGTTCAGTAAAATCTGGGCTTTTTATTTTCTTTTATCAGACAAAACATCTTATGTGAAGATTTCCTGGTCTTTGCTTCTCTACAGCAAATCAAGTAATCCAAAGTATTCAGATTACGGGAATACATTTTAAAAGTAACATTCACAACACTGGTCGCACGATTATAGAGCATTTTGGCACGTGGTCTAAAAACATGGGGGACACCGAGCACCAAACGCACAGGCAGTGATACAGACGTGGTAAGGTACTGCAGTAAAACAAGTGACTAAAATGATCATTTAAACCACCAAAGCGTCCAAACGCAATGAAAACACTTCATACTTAAAGTGTCTTGGTTTTTGTCTCGGAAACCTTGCTCAGTCTCACAGTGTCATTAGGCAACATCCTAAAATCCTCTGAGTCAGATGGACAAACGAACGAACCATTACTTCCTCAATACGGGCGAGCTCCTCCCACCCGTGTGACGTCTGTAACATGGACGGCGTGGAGCGTTTGGACCAATCAGAGCGAGAGCTGCTAGAGCGGAGCGAACGCGGGCTCAGAGCAGGGCTAAGCAAAGTCTTACAAAACTAACTTTTAGGCTCTTTGAGGATTAAAAAAGTTTATATTGTGATTAGGGATGGGCATTCGATGAAATTTTCTTAATCGATCGTTGGAAGAATTAACGATCGATTATCGATTAGTCATTAACGTTTTTATATTAAAATGATCATCATTATTATTACTATCTGCACTACTAATCTGCATAAATAAATTCAACTTTACGACATATAAACCGTAACGACTCTAGAGCCACATCAGCCCGTTTGACATTATAATGTGTTTAATTCAGTTTTGTGCAACTCTCACAGAAACTAAACTTAAAACCACATCACTAATTTACGTAAACTAAGCGAAGATAAAAATACAGCTCTTGTGCACTGATGCGGTTCAATTTCTATCGGATTAAAGGACATGACTCAGGTGAATACAGGTTAGTGTGACCAGATTTGTGTTTGTCAAAACCAGGACACCGTACGGGGGGAGGGAGGTGGGGACTCGTCATCGACATTGAGCGACTCTCACCTGGTAAAACTTTTTCCCACTGGACACTGACACATATGTGCTGCTTTATACACTGTGCACACGGACTCACACTTGTCTCGACCGGAACGGAAAGCGTGGAATTTCTTGTACAAATCATTGTTAAATACGCATTTGTGCTTCGGTACGTTGCAGACGGACTGACTGTTTGTGTCTCGCTCCTTCTGATGCAGAGAGACACATGTACACACCTGTTTGGTCACACTACACACAGCAACCTACATTCGGTTTGTCGATTAAAATTAACATAATCGATGAAATTCTTAATGATCAATTATCGATTAATCGACTAATCATGCCCATCCCTAATTGTGATAATAGAAAAGAATCCCTACAAAATCCGACCTTAGTGAAAGTTGTGGATGCCCCGCCAGCAAACACAGGCAGTTTTCATTCCCAAAAAATGCATTGTGCTTCTACGGGAGAATTCTTTCCGGGATCGATCTCCTGGGAGCTGCAGTACCTGAAGCGGCCACTAGTCTGTCTCGAGGGACAGTGGGGGAACACCTTAAGCCCAATTTATGGTTGTGCGTCAAATCGTCCTTGAACAGAGAGTCTGCGTCGACCGATGTGCACCTCCGAAATTTTGTACGGAGCTGTGATTGGTCCTCTCTACATCTGCTCTACGTACATTTCTGGAGTACCGCTTTTCTGCTTAATTTTGTAAACACGGACGCCATTTTTAAATCCTTGCCTCTTAGCATTGTGTCGGTGAATTACTTCGCGACACAAAGACCTCGACGTAGATTCATAAATCAAAAATGACGGCGACGAGGCGACGGCGGAAGTGTGCGCCGAGTCAACGCAGAACTATAATTCGGCCTTCATCCAGTTTTTATTATAGATCCATAGTTTGGCAGGAGGCAGGAGCTGAGCAACGCTGTCAATCAAACCTGTTGCTAACTCTAGTGTTCAACTTCGGCGAAAGAAGACACCCGTTTGGTTTGTTATTAAAGTTCATATCTTGATTTAGGAGCAAAATAATGAAATAAAAACCCCAGGATCACATAGAGCGAGTTAATACGAACATTTTAAGACCAAAACGACGAGCCCGACAAAAGCAGTTAGAGAGAGAGAGGGGCCACGGTTTTTCAATAGAAAGTGAACTGGAGCCAGAAGCGCGACCATGCTCACTTCCTGTTTGGCTCAGAGCAGAAAGTGGGGTTAGGTATGTCCATTTATATATATACAGTCTATGGGAGAACCTAGATGGACCTTTTCACCAGATTTGACCCAGAATTTTGGCCGATGTGTGCAGACAGGTGCGTGTGTGTCGACAGGTGCGTGTGTGTCGACAGGTGCGTGTGTGTCGACAGGTGCGTGTGTGTCGACAGGTGCGACTGACCGGTCCTGCTCTCCTGCAGCTCGCGGAGGGCAGCGGCGAGCTCCTTGAAGCCCTCCAGGTTCTTGTTGTTCTGGCCGTAGAGCAGGATCTTCTTCGCGTCGGAGAAAAGACGAGAGATTCTGAAAAAAAAACACAAAACACTTCGGTCAAACTCAACTTAAAAAGACTTCGGTTTGAGGGTCCGTCGCCCGCTCGTTTCTACGGAGATGTTCCACAGTGTGACTTTAAACAGCTCTACTTTACATTTATTCAATTACGGGTGGTTTTATAGCTCAAAAATACGCAGAAAAACAACATTCTGACTGTGAGCGGGGTCGCCTCTCCACAGATCTGACCTGTAACTTGCACTAGTTTGGTCTCCATGAAGATAGAAAGGTTTTAATGCCATACTGTGGAACATTCCAGGTCCCTGAAACGCTCTTAATTTGGTGGGATAATACGTGTTTTAAATATAAATTATAGTTTTACACCAGTCAAGAAGCAATTTGTGAAGAAAAGTTGAGATTTCTGAGTTAGAAAATCAGCTTCTATATCATAACGATCTTCTTTGTAATATCAATATAATCCTCATTTGCCAGGATCAAACCAGGACCAAACCGGGACCGAACCAGGACTGAACCAGGACTAAAACAGGACTAAAACAGGACTGAACCAGGACTGAACCAGGACTGAACCAGGACTGAATCAGAACTGAACCAGGACTAAAACAGGACTAAAACAGGACTAAAACAGGACTGAACCAGGACTAAACTAAAACTGAACCAGGACTGAACCAGAACTGAACCAGGACTGAACCAGGACTAAACTAAAACTGAACCAGGACTGAACCAGAACTGAACCAGGACTGAACCAGGACTAAACTAAAACTGAACCAGGACTGAACCAGAACTGAATCAGGACTGAACCAGGACTGAACCAGAACTGAATCAGGACTGAACCAGGAATAAAACAGGACTGAACCGGGACTGAACCGGGACTAAACCGGGACTAAACCGGGACTAAACCGGGACTAAAACGGGACTGAACCGGGACTTAACTGGGACTGAACCAGGACTGAACCGGGACTGAACCAGGACTGAACCAGGACTGAACCAGGACTAAACTAAAACTGAACCAGGACTGAACCAGGACTAAATCAGAACTGAACCAGCACTAAAACAGGACAAAAACAGGACTGAACCAGGACTAAACCAGAACTGAACCAGGACTAAAACAGGACTAAACCAGGACTGAACTAGGACTAAACCAGGACTGAACCAGGACTGAACCAGGACTGCATCAGCTTTCAATCAGTTCTAAAAATAAATAAATAAAAATAAAAACAACTGACTAATCAGAAATAAATCAGAACTAAACCAGGACTAAACTTTTGAACTCAGACAAATCAGCTCTTTGACCCAGTTAAACTTTTTTATTTATTCATTTATTTTTTTTTTTATTAAAACCTTAAATGTCATGATGTTAACTATGTTTTAGTAAACTGAGTCTCATAGGAACTTGAGATTTAAATAAATTATCCCAGACCAGGGGAATTTGTGACTGTGAAATGTAGGAGGTTCTGAGAGGTTCCGGAGTGGGGCTTTAATCAGACTTGTCCTGGACTTACATGGAGTCGTTGAAGTTCCCGACGACCCCGGGACTCTCTCCGGGCGTGGGGCTCCTGAAGCACGGGTTGTTGGCGTTGCACAGGATCCCCTGTATCCATGGCAACGTGCCCGCCGACGGCATCGCCTTGTTCGGGAAGTGACCTGCAAAAAAGGAAAAACCAAAACCAGGATCCAGGACTAGACAGGTCGACAAACCTGGATAAATTCCCAGACCAGGGGAATTTGTGACTGTGAAATGTAGGAGGTTCTGAGAGGTTCCGGAGTGGGCTTTAATCAGACTTGTCCTGGACTTACATGGAGTCGTTGAAGTTCCCGACGACCCCGGGACTCTCTCCGGGCGTGGGGCTCCTGAAGCACGGGTTGTTGGCGTTGCACAGGATCCCCTGTATCCATGGCAACGTGCCCGCCGACGGCATCGCCTTGTTCGGGAAGTGACCTGCAAAAAAGGAAAAACCAAAACCAGGATGAGACCAGGACTAGACCAGGATTAGACCAGGACTAGAACAGGACTAGACAGGACTAGACCAGGACTAGACTAGGACTAGAGACTAAGATAGGACTAGACCAGGAGTAAACTAGAACTAGACCAGGCCAAGACAAGACCAGGACTAGACCAGACTAGACAAGGACTAGACAAGGACTAGACAGGACTAAGACAGGACTAGAGACCAGGATTAGACCAGGACTAGACCAGGACTAGACCAGGACTAGACCAGGACTAGACCAGGACTAGACCAGGACTAGAGACCAGGACTAGACCAGGACTAGACAGGACTAGAGACTAGACCAGGACCCAGGACTTAGACCAGGACTAGAGACCAGGACTAGAGACCAGGACTAGACCAGGACTAGAGACCAGGATTAGACCAGGACTAGAACCAGGACTAGAGACCAGGACTAGACCAGGACTAGAGACCAGGACTAGAGACCAGGACTAGACCAGGACTAGAGACCAGGACTAGACCAGGACTAGACCAGGACTAGAGACCAGGACTAGAGACCAGGACTAGAGACCAGGACCAGGCCAAGACTGGACCAGGACTAGAGACTAAGCTATGACTAGACGAGGACTAGACCAGGAGTAAACTAGGACTAGAGCAGGACTAGAAGACCAGGACCAGGCCACGATCAGGCCAGGACTAGGCCAGGACTGAATCAGAAGTAAACAAGGACTAGACCAGGGCTAGAGACCAAGCTATCACTAGACCACGATTAGAGACCAGGACTAGACCAGGACTAGACCAGGACTAGACCAGGAACTAGACCAGGCCAGGACAAGAGACTAAACTATGACTAGGCCAGGAGTAGGCCAGGACTGGACCAGGATTAGGCCAGGACTGGACCAGGACTGAATCAGAAGTAGACCAGGATTAGAGACCAGGACTAGAGCCTAAAATATGAGTAGATCAGGACTGGGCCAGGACTGGACTCAGGACTAGATGCAGGACTACACCAGGGCTAGACCCAGGACTAGATCAGGACTAGATTGAGGATAAACCAGGACTAGACAAGGAATAATCCAAGACTAATCCAGGACTTCACCAGGACTAAAGTAGGACTACAGTGTGACAAGATCAGAAGAAGGACTTAAACATAATTAGACCAGGACCAAACCAAGTCCTAACAAGACCTACAACATTAAGACTACGCCTCAAGTAAACCATACACCTGGACTAACCCAGGACTGAACCAGGACCGAACCAGGACTAGACCAGGTTTTAACTCTCCTGGGACTAAACCAGAACTAAACCAAAAGTCAGGACTGACCCATAATTCATTCAGAAAACAGAAGTAGGTGATAGTGTTGAAAAGTCATCAAAACAAGTTGTAATCCAGGTCTAAAGCCGGACTAAAGCCCAGAGCAAACAGAGCGGACGCCCGTGGGTGCTGCGGACGCCCGTGGGTGCAGTGGGCGGGGCCAGGCAGAGGTGTCAGGACATGAACTGAGCACGTGCAGAAATAAACGACAAAAGAGCGAACGAGAGCGTGAAATCGAGTCTTTGTGAGAGACCAGACCCACAGGAGCCAAGGGAGCGGCCGCAGGACTAAACCAGGACTAAACCAGGACTAAACCGGGACTAAACCAGGACTGAACCAGGACTGAACCAAGACTAAACCAAGACTGAACCAAGACTGAACTGAACAGAGACTGAACCAGACTGAACCAGGACTAAACCAGGACTGAACCAGACTGAACCGGGACTAAACCGACTAAACCAGGACTGAACCAAGACTAAACCAGGACTAAACCCAGGACTAAACCGGGACTAAACCGGGACTAAACCAGGACGAACCAGGACTGAACCAAGACTGAACCAGGACTAAAACCGGGACTGAACCAGGACTGAACCAGGACTGAACCAGGACTGGACCAAGACTAAACCAGGACTAAACCAAGACTGAACCAAGACTAAACCAGGACTGAACCAAGACTGAACCAAGACTAAACCAAGACTGAACCAAGACTGAACCAGGACTAAACTAAGACTGAAGCAGAACTGAACCGGGACTGAACCAGGACTAAACCAGCACTGAGTTAGGCCTAAAGCAGGACTGAACCAGGACTGACCCAGGACTAAACCAGGACTGAGCCAGGACTGAACCAGGACTGACCCAGGACTGACCCAGGACTAAACCAGGACTAAACCAGGACTGAGCCAGGACTGAACCAGTTCTAAACCAAGACTAAACCAGGACTGAACCAGCACTAAACCAGGAGTAAACCAAGACTAAACCAAGACTATACCAGGACTAGGACTGAACCAAGACTGAACCAAGACTGAACCAAGACTGAACCAAGAAAAAAACAGGAAAAAACCAACACTAACCAGGACTAAACTAAGACTAAACCAAGACTGAACCAAGACTGAACCAAGACTGAACCAGGACTGACCCAGGACTGAACCAGGACTAAACCAGGAAAAAAACAGGAAAAAACCAACACTAACCAGGACTAAACTAAGACTAAACCAGGACTGAACAGGGACTAAACCGAGACTGAGTCAGGATTAACCCAGGACTAAACCAGGACTACATCGGCTCTCAACCAGTTCTAAAAAACAAACAAAAAACAAAAAACAGGACTAAACCAGGACTGAACCTGAACAAACGAGAACAAAACAAGCACCAAATCGGGACTAAACCAGGACTAAACTTTTGAACTCTCAAACAAATCAGCTCTTTGACCCAGTTCAGGTGAAACTGTGCTGTTGTCGTTTTTACCGTGTTAACGACCTGCAGTGACCTGAGGCGTTACAAAGACAGATATAAATAAATAAAAAAAGTATTATTGTTATTATTTCTATTATTAAACTTGGAGGACCCACTGAAGTCGTAATAAACCAGATTAAAGCGGAGAGATGCTCCTGGTCTTGGTGCACGTGGGGCAGGTTCACGCCGCACCTGCCCTGATAATGTTTACAACTGAACTGAACTTTGGCGTGAGGCCGGATCAGATTAGATAAAAACTACATCCTCGGCTCCACAAACGTCCAACTGTCCTCTTCTAACGCTCTTTTCTAAAACTCTTTTCTAACGCTCTTTTCTAACGCTCTTTTCTAAAACGCTCTTTTCTAACGCTCTCTTTTCTAAACGCTCTTTTTCTAACGCTCTTTTCTAAACGCTCTCTCTTTTTCTAAAACTCTTTTCTAACGCTCTTTTCTAACGCTCTTTTCTAACGCTCTTTTCTAACGCTCTTTTCTAAACGCTCTTTTCTAACGCTCTTTTCTAACGCTCTTTTCTAACGCTCTTTTCTAACGCTCTTTTCTAACGCTCTTTTCTAACGCTCTTTTCTAAAACTCTTTTTTCTAAAACTCTTTTCTAACGCTCTTTTCTAACGCTCTTTTCTAACGCTCTTTTCTAACGCTCTTTTCTAACGCTCTTTTCTAAAACGCTCTTTTCTCTTTTCTAACGCTCTTTTCTAACGCTCTTTTCTAAAACTCTTTTCTAACGCTCTTTTTTAACGCTCTTTTCTAACGCTCTTTTCTAAAACTCTTTTCTAACGCTCTTTTCTAACGCTCTTTTTTAACGCTCTTTTCTAACGCTCTTTTCTAAAACTCTTTTCTAACGCTCTTTTCTAAAACGCTCTTTTCTAACGCTCTTTTCTAAAACGCTCTTTTCTAACGCTCTTTTCTAAAACTCTTTTCTAACGCTCTTTTCTAACGCTCTTTTTCTAAACGCTCTTTTTTCTAAACGCTCTTTTCTAAAACGCTCTTTTTCTCTAACGCTCTTTTCTAACGCTCTTTTCTAAAACTCTTTTCTAACGCTCTTTTCTCTCTGCTTCTCCTCCATGGATCTATTAAAATAACTGGATACAGTATTTCTGCTTGTCGCTGCCTCCAGTTGACGTAGTGTCACTCAGTGGTTCTACAGTCGAAAAAATCCCATGGGCCGAGAGAAGATTTTTCTCATATAGAGGCAATGTAATCACAACCTGCTCGTGTTCGGCTACAACTTTCAAAAATGTCGGATTTTGTGGCGATTTTTACCTATTTTTAGATCATAAACTTTTTCTCGCTCAAAATCCTTCAGTTGTCTTAAAAAAAACGCTTTATATTCGTTTGCTCCGCTCTCGTTCCTCTCGCTCTGATTGGTCAAAGCGATCACGTGATACACGAGCCGGGCTAAAGGCTAATCTGGGATCATGCGCCATTGAGCTCAGCCCATTGACTTGAATGGGCGGCCATTTTGGAACCTGGGGGCTTGGTCTCCTCCTACAACTGTTCCTCTTCTTCCTCCTGTTTGAGCTCATCTAGTTCATCATCTCTCTCTCTCTGCTCTCTCTCTCAGCTCCTCTTTTCTCTCTCTCTCTGCTCTCTCTCTCTCTCTCTCTCTCTCTCTCTTCTCTCTCTGCTCCTCTGACTAAATTCCTCCCCCAGCTCCCCTCTACCTCTTCTCTTGTGTGTCTCTCTCTCTGCTCTTCTATTTTCTTCCTTTGCCCCCTCTCTCCTCTCTTCTCTCTCTCTCTCTCTTTCTTTTTCTCTGTCCCTCTCTCTCTCTGCTCCTCTCTTCTTTTTCTCTGTCCCTCTCCCTCTCTGCTCCTCTCTCTCCCGCTGCTTCTTTTCTTCCTCCTGTTTCTCTCTCTCTCTGCTCATCTGGTTCTCGCTTTCTCTGCTCCCCTGGCGACTCTCTTCTCCTCTGGCTCCCCTTTATCTCTTCTCTTCTCTCTCTCTGTCCCTCTCTCTCTTTCACTCTCTCTCTCTCTGCTCTTCTATTCTCTCTTTGCCCCCCTCTGTTTCTCTCTCTCTCTGCTCCTCTTTTCTCTCTCTCTCTGCTCCTCTTCACTCTCTCTCTCTGCTCCTCTTTCTCTCTCTCTCTGCTCCTCTTTCCTCTCTCTCTCTCTCTCTCTCTCTCCTCTGCTCCTCTCTTCTCTCTCTCTCCTCTCTCTCTCTCTCTCTCTCTCTCTCTCTGCTCCTCTCTCTCTCTCTCTCTCTCTCTCTCTCTCTCTCTGCTCCTCTTCTCTCTCTCTCTCTCTGCTCCTCTCTCTCTCTCTCTGCTCCTCTTCTCTCTCTCTCTCTCTGCTCCTCTTCACTCTCTCCCTCTCTCTGCTCCTCTTCTCTCTCTCTCTGCCTCTCTCTCTCTCTCTTCTCTCTCTCTCTCTGCTCTCTCTTCTCTCTCTCTCTGTTCTCTCTCTCTTCTCTCTCTCTCTCTCTGCTCTCTCTCTCTCTCTTCTCTCTCTCTCTCTCTCTCTCTCTCTGCTCTCTCTCTCTTCTCTCTCTCTCTGCTCCTCTTCTCTCTCTCTCTCTCTGCTCTCCTCTCTTCTCTCTCTCTCTGCTCCTCTCTTCTCTCTCTCTGCTCCTCTTTCTCTCCCTTTTTGTCTCTGCCTCCTCTCTCTCTGTTTCTCTTTCATTCATCTCTGTCCTTTCTCTCTCCATGCTCCACTAGCTCTTTCTCTCTGTCCCTCTCGCTCTTTCTCTTTATTTCTCTCTTTCTGCTTTGCTCCTCTTCTCTCTCTGCTCCACTGTCTCTGCTCCCCCCTCTCTCTCTTCTCTCCTCCTCTTTCGCTCTCTGCTCCCCCCCTCTCTCTCTCTGTGTTTCTTTGTTTCATTCTCTCTGTTCCTCTCTCTTTCTGCTCTCCTCCTCTCTCTCCCTGTTCCTCTGTCACTCTGGTCCCCTTCTCTCTTCTCCTCTCTCTCTCTCTCTCTGCTGCTCTTCACTTTCTCTCTCTCTGCTCCCCTCCATTCTCTCTCTTTGCTCCTCTTCTTCTCTCTTTCTCTGCTCCTCTCTTTTCTCTGTCGCTGCTTCTCTTCACTCTCCATCTCTCTCTGCTCATTTCTCTGTCCTTTCTCCTCTCTCTCTCTGCTCCTCCTCTTTCTCTCTTCTCTCTCTCTGCTCTCTTTCTCTCTTCTCTCTCTCTGCTCCTCTCTTTCTCTCTCTCTGCTCCTCTTTTCTCCACTCTCTGTATTTTCTCTCTGTATTTTCTCTCTCTCTGCTCCTCTCTCTCTCTTTCTTTGCTCCTCTCTTTTCTCTCTCTGCTCCTCTTCACTCTCTTTCTTTCCCTCTCTCACTCTGTACATTTCCTCTCTTTTTAATTCACTAAACTTTCTTTCTTTCTCTTCCTTCACAAATCACAAACACGATTCTGCAGGTTGAACAGGGTCAATCCCATTTGTTCCTCAGACGTGTTTCCTTGTCTCCTTAGTGCTTCCTAAATCCGTTTACGTGTCTGAAGTGGTGAGTCACAGCGAAACTCTAACGCTTAAACTACTTCTGTTTTTTTTTTTTTTTTTCCTCTTCATCTTTTTGTACATTTATTTCACTTCTCTGAACCTTTGTGTAACTTTTTTTTTTTTTTTTACATTTACATTTTTTAAAAAAGCACCAGATATTTCGGTAGGAGGAGTTCTGGAGGTGCCAAGGTCTTCAATTTGCATATAACTCCTTGTTTCCTTCCACTTGTCTCCACGTGTCCTAGTCCCTTTCCTAGCTCCTCTCCTTGTGTCCTACTTATTTCCTCGTCTCCTAGTCCCTTCCACTTGTCTCCATGTGTCCTAGTCCCTTTCCTAGCTCCTCTCCTTGCGTCCTAGTCTCCTTGTTAGTCTCCTCGTTTCCTCTTTTCTCTTTGTTTACTAGTGCCTTCCATTTGTTTCCTTGTGTCCTAGTCCTTTTCTTAGCTCCTCTCCTTATGTCCTAGTCCCTTTCCTAGCTCCTCTCCTTATGTCCTAGTCCCTTTCCTAGCTCCTCTCCTTATGTCCTAGTCCCTTTCCTAGCTCCTCTCCTTGTGTCCTAGTCCCTTTCCTAGCTCCTCTCCTTGTGTCCTAGCCCTTTCTTACCTCCTCTCCTTGTGTACTAGTCTCCTTGTTAGTCTCCTTGTTTCTTCTTTTCTCCTTATCTCATTGACTCCTAGCGCCTTCCTCTTGTCTCCTTATGTCCTAGTCCCTTGTCCTAGCTCCTCTCCTTGTTTCCTTCTGTCTTTCTTCTCTTTGTGTCTTGTTGGATTCTGTGTGACACCTGCTTTTGCATTTTTTACAGTTTTTTTTACAGTTTAGATCGTGAAATTACTCAAACTTTCACAAGTTTCACATTCCAAACTGTCAAAATTAAAATTACTTCTCAGGAATTCATTTGTTGAAAAAAAAAAAAAAAAAAAAAAAAAAAAAACGGTTAAAATGACTCATGTCTCCTTGTGTCCTTGTCCGTTTCCTAGCTCCTTGTTTCCTTCCTCTTGTCTCCTTGTGTCCTAGTCCCTTCCTCTTGTCTCCTTGTGTCCTCCTCCCTTCCACTTGTCTACTTGTTTCCTACTTCCTTCTACTTGTGTCCTACTCCCTTCTTATTATGTCCTACTCCCTCCCTTTTGTCTCCTTGTGTCCTAGTACCTTTCTCTTGTGTCCTTGTGTCCTAGACCATTTCCTAGCTCCTTGTTTCCTTCCTCCTATCTCCTTGTGCCCTTGTACCTTCCTCTTGTCTCCTTGTGTTCTAGACCCTGTCCTAGTCCTAGCTCCTTGTTTCCTTCCTCTTGTCTTCTTGTGTCCTAGTCCCTTCCTCTTGTCTACTTGTTTCCTACTTCCTTCTTCTTGTGTCCTACTCCCTTCTCATGTCCTACTCCCTCCCTTTTGTCTCATTGTGTCCTAGTCCCTTTCTCTTGTGTCCTTGTGTCCTAGTCCCTTGCTCTTGTCTCCATGTGTCCTAAAACCTTCCCTAACTCCTTGTTTCCTTCCTCTTGTCTCCTTATGTCCTAGTCCCTTCTTCTCTTCTTGTGACCCAGTACCTTCCTTAGCCCCTTGTTTACTTTTGTCTCCTTGTGTCCTAGTCCCTTTCCTAGCTCCTTGTTTCCATGACTTCCTTGACTCCTTGCCTTCTTGTATCCTAGGCCCTTCCTTAGCTCCTCAATTCCTTTCCTAGTCTCCTCGTTTCCTTCCTCTGGTCTCCATGTGTCCTACATCCTTTCTCTTCAATCCTTGTGTCCTATTTCCTTCCTTAGCTCTTCATTTCCTTTTCCCTCCTTTTTTTTAATTTCTCTTGTCTCCTTGTATCCTAGTTCCTTCCTTAGCTCCTCACCTCGTTTCCTTTTGTCTCCTTGTGTCTTAGTCCCTTTCCTAGTCTCCTCGTTTCCTTCCTCATGTCTCCTTATGTCCTAGTCTCCTCGTTTCCTCTTGTCTTCTTGTCTCCTAGTCCCTTTGTCTTTGTGTCCTTGTCTCCTTGTCTCCTTCGGTCTTTAAAGTGAACCTGGAGGCGGTGGATTTCACTCTAGATTCCAAACGTGTCTGAACAAGTCCACGTTTACCTCTCTATATGTGCGCCCAAAACCAGGTCAGGACCAGGGCTAAGCCAGAACTAAACCAGGACTAATACCAGGATCAAGCCCCACACTAAACCAAACCCAGAACAACGATTTATTCAAGACTAAAACATAAACTAAGTCAAAAAGGGAGGTTAAAAAAAAAAAAAAAGGACTAAACTAGGGAAAAATAAACTAGTAACAAACCAAGACAAAACCAGGACATAAACCAGGACTAAACTAGTAACAAACCAGGACTAAACTATGACTAAACCAAGACCAAACCAGGACCTAAAAGAGGACCTAAACCAGGTAAAAACCAGGACTAAATCAGGACTAAACCAGTAACAAAACAGGAATAAACCAAGACCAAAATCAGGACTAAACCAGTAACAAAACAGGAATAAACCAAGACCAAACCAGGACTAAACCAGTAACAAAACAGGACTAAACCAGGACTACAACCAGAACCAAACCAGGACTAAAACAAGGACCAAATCAGGACCATACCAGGACCACACTAATAACAAATCAGGACTAAACCATGACCAAAACAATGACCAAACCAGGACTAAACTAAAAACAAACCAGGACTAAACTGGTAACAAACCAGTCCTAAACCAGGACTAAACCATTTACAAACCAGGACTAAATCAGGACCAAATCAGGACTTAACCAGGACTAGACTAATAACAAACCAGGACTAAACCAGGACTAAACCCGGGGCAAAACAGGATAAAATCAGGACCAAACCAGGACTAAAACCAGGACTAAACCAGGACTAAACCAAGACTAAACCAGGACTAAACCCGAGGCAAAACAGGATAAAATCAGGACCAAACCAGGACTAAACCAGGACTAAATTATGACTAAACCCGGGGCAAAACAGGATAAAATCAGGACTTAACCAGGACTAGACTAGGACTACCACCATGAATTAGAACCAGGACTTAACCGGGACTAAACAAGTAACAAATCAGGAGTAAACTGGTAACAAACCAGGACTAAACCAGGACGAAAGCCAGCATAATGCAAAACTAGTCCAGGACCAAACTAAGACTAACCAAAGTTCAGACCAGGACTAAATTGGGCTCCACACAAGCAGAGGAACTGTAACCAGGTCTAAACCAGGTCTGGTATAAACCAGGTCTAAACCAGTTCACAGGTGCACACTCACATTCATGCTGCTCGTAGGGGGGGTAGTTGAGTCGGACGGCGATGAGGATGAAGAAGATGAAGAGCGGCCACAGAATCTCCACCAACAACTGCAACTGAAACACAAAGAACAAACGACAGGGTCAGAAGAAGAGAGGAGAGGGTCAGAGAGGAGAAGAGAGGGTCAGAGAGGAGAAGAGAGGGTCAGAGGAGAGAGAGAGGAGAGGGAGAGGAGAGAGGAGAGGGTCAGAGAGGAGAGGGAGAGAGAGAGAGAGGTCAGAGGAGAGGGTCAGAGAGGAGAGGAGAGGGTCAGAGGAGGAGAGGGTCAGAGGAGGAGAGGGTCAGAGGAGGAGAGGAGAGGGTCAGAGAGAGAGGAGAGGGTCAGAAGAAGAGAGGAGAGGTCAGAGGAGGAGAGGGTCAGAGGAGAGGGTCAGAGAGGAGAGGGTCAGAGGAGGAGAGGAGACGGTCAGAGGAGGAGAGGAGGAGAGGGGAGAGAGGAGAGAGGGTCAGAGGAGGAGGGTCAGAGGAACAGAGGAGAGGGTGAGAGGAGGAGAGAGAGGGTCAGAGGAGGAGAGAAGGTCAGGAGGAGAGGAGAGGGTCAGAGGAGGAGAGGGTCAGAGGAGGAGAGGAGAGGTCAGAGGAGGAGAGGAGAGAGAGGAGAGAGGTCAGAGGAGAGGAGAGGAGAGGGAGAGAGAGGAGAGGGTGAGAGGAGGAGAAGAGAGGGTGAGAGGAGGAGAGGAGAGGGTGAGAGGAGAGGAGAGGAGAGGAGGAGAGGTCAGAGGAGGAGGAGAGGGTCAGAGAGAGGAAAGGAGAGGGTCAGAGGAGGAGAGAGAGAGGGTGAGAGAGGAGAGGAGAGGGTCAGAGGAGGAGAAGAGGAGAGAGAGAGAGAAGGGTCAGAGGAGGAGAGGAGAGGGTGAGAGGAGGAGAGGAGAGGGTCAGAGAGAGGAGAGGAGAGGGTCAGAGGAGGAGAGGAGTCAGAGGAGAGGGAGAGAGAGGAGAGGTCAGAGAGAGGAGGGAGAGGGGTCAGAGGAGGAGAGGAGAGGGTCAGAGGAGGAGAGGAGAAGGTCAGAGGAGGAGAGGAGAGGGTCAGAGAGGAGAGAGAGGTCAGAGGAACAGAGGAGAGGTGAGAGGAGGAGAGGAGAGGGTCAGAGGAGGAGAGGAGAAGGTCAGAGGAACAGAGGAGAGGGTGAGAGGAGGAGAGGAGAGGGTCAGAGGAGGAGAGGGAGAGGTCAGAGGAGGAGAGGAGAGGTCAGAGGAGGAGAGGAGAGGGTCAAAGGAGGAGAGGAGAGGTCAGAGAGGAGTCAGAGAGGAGGGGAGAGAGGAGAGGAGAGGGTCAGAGGAGGAGAGGAGAGGGTCAGAGGAGGAGAGGAGAGGTCAGAGAGAGGGAGAGGAGAGGAGGTCAGAGGAGGAGAGGAGAAGGTCAGAGGAGCAGAGGAGAGAGGTGAGAGGAGGAGAGGAGAGGGTCAGAGGAGGAGAGGAGAGGTCAGAGGAGGAGAGGAGAGGGTCAGAGAGGAGGAGAGGAGAGGTCAGAGGGAGAGAGAAGGTCAGAGAGAGGGAGAGGGTCAGAGGAGGAGAGAGAGGTCAGAGGAGGAGAGGAGAGGTCAGAGGAGGAGAGGAGAAGGTCAGAGGAACAGAGGAGAGGGTGAGAGAGGAGAGGAGAGGGTCAGAGAGGAGAGGAGAGGGTCAGAGGAGGAGAGGGTCAGAGGAGGAGAGGAGAGGGTCAGAGGAGGAGAGGAGAGGGTCAGAGAGGAGGAGAGGAGAGGGTCAGAGGAGGAGAGAAGGTCAGAGGAACAGAGAGAGGAGAGGAGAGAGAGGTCAGAGAGAGAGGAGGGTCAGAGGAGGAGAGGAGAGGTCAGAGGAGGAGAGGAGAGGTCAGAGGAGGAGAGGAGAAGGTCAGAGGAGGAGAGGAGAGGGTGAGAGGAGGAGAGGAGAAGGTCAGAGAGGAGAGGAGAGGGTCAGAGGAGAGAGAGAGGTCAGAGGAGAGGAGGAGAGGGGAGAGGAGGAGAGGAGAAGGTCAGAGGAGGAGAGGAGAAGGTCAGAGGAGGAGAGGAGAAGGTCAGGGAGAGGAGGAGAGGAGAGGTCAGGAGGAGAGGAGGAGAGGAGAGGGTCAGAGGAGGAGAGGAAGAGGGTCAGAGGAGAGAGAGAGGTCAGAGGAGAGAGGGGTCAGAGAGGAGAGGAGAGGGTCAGAGGAGGAGAGGAGAGGGTCAGAGGAGGAGAGGAGAGGGTCAGAGGAGGAGAGGAGAGGGTCAGAGGAGGAGAGGAGAGGGTCAGAGGAGGAGAGGAGAGGGTCAGAGGAGGAGAGAGAGGGTCAGAGGAGGAGAGGAGAGGGTCAGAGGAGGAGAGGAGAGGGTCAGAGGAAGAGAGGAGAGAGAGGGTCAGAAGAGAAGAGAGAGGGTCAGAGGAGGAGAGGAGAGGGTCAGAGAGAGGAGAGGGTCAGAGGAGGAGAGGAGAGGGTCAGAGGAGGAGAGGAGAGAGGTCAGAGGAGGAGAGGAGAAGGTCAGAGGAGGAGAGGAGAGGGTCAGAGGAGGAGAGGAGGAGAAGAGGGTCAGAGGAGGAGGAGAGGGTCAGAGGAGGAGAGGGTCAGAGGAGGAGAGGAGAGTCAGAGGAGAAAGGAGAGGGTCAGAGGAGGAGAGGAGAGAAGAGGGTGAGAGAGGAAAGGAGAGGTCAGAGAGGAGAGGGTCAGAGGAGGAGAGGAGAAGGTCAGAGGAGCAGAGGATGAATCATGTCTGTGTGAGACTTCATCAGAACCGAACCAGGACTAAACCAGGACCCAAAACTGGGATCTTAAATCACAAATAAAGATCTGATCTAGAGATGCACCGGAACCAATCCTTGAAAATTTGCCGGATAGCTCCTTGTTTCCTTCCTTTTATCTCCTTGTGTCCTAGTCCCTTTCTCTCATCTCCTTGTGTCCTAGTCCCTTTCCTAGCTCCTTGTTTCCATGCTCTTGCCTTCTTGTATCCTACACCCTTTCTCTTCAATCCATGTGTCCTATTTCCTTCCTTAGCTCCTCATTTCCTTTTGTCTCCTTGTTTCCAAAATACATTTTCTGTCGATATCCTGGTCGGTCCTGTAAATTTTATTGTAAATTGATGTAATATTTTGTATTTACTTGTCATATTGGCCCAGAAAGTCTCGTAATGTTTAAACTTTTATTTATACAAAGTTGTTCTGCAGTTACTTCAAATGAATCTTTAAGCAAAATTATAAAAACATCACCAAAAACATAGTTGGAATTGTGTTTTGTTTCATTCACACACGTTTATATCAGGTTATTCATCTCGTTTTCAGATTTATTATCGACTTGCTCGTCTAGAGGTGGTTTATTTTAAGATAAGTAAAATTATCTCGCCGCGTGGACAGATAATTTCACAACTTTTAAGTCGTTTTCTGATAGATTTAAGTGTTTATGGGTCCAGTCAAGTAGTAACGGAGGGAAACAGGCAGATTTTTAACATTCAAATGTCTCTTATTCAGAAACTAGAGGGACTATTGAAATAAGTAAAGTATCAGAATGTAGGAAAGAGTTACACTCCAACAGGGTCAAGTTAAACCTGTGATATTCTTTCAAGTTGTTGACAAAAAAATTTAAAAACTCATGTCGGTAACGGAGGGAATGAAATATGCAGCACTTTTTGGGCAATAAATCCAAACAGTGATAACTCTTGGTTCTCACTTACATATCCTTAACAAACTGGTTTGAATATTTGCTTCATATAGTTTTCTACCATATGGTACAAATTAGTTTGAAAAAATTCTTACTTTTTGAAGTCATGAGATTTTTTATGAAGAAAGGTCATGGTAACGGAGGGAAAAGTAACGGAGGGAAAATTGTGCAAACAAGTAGAAGGTGCAGGATTTTACATCATTTGTCGCTTTTTTTCTTCCAAATACTTTAATATTACTTCAAAATGAAAGGAAACTATTTCTATAAAATATGTCAGTCCTTCCAAGCAAATTTTTATCATTTTAAATACTTTTTTTTTTTTTTTTTTAATCATGTACCTTCATCAACAGTTCAAAGATGGAATAACACAAGATATGATGAAATACATCAGTTTATTTACATGATTTTTGGGTCTTTGAAATTTGGGAAATAATTTTTGTTCCATGTTTCATACATGGTCTGTTTAAAACGTATGTAACTTTAGAACCAAAAATGGTACAGAAAAAAGGTCAAGAGTTTCATAAACTAGAGTACATATGTATCTGTTCAATACATTTTTATATCAGATGCATTAACTTGAGTTTTTGGCCTTGTTGTTTACTTCTGCTTGACTGGGCTCTTATGTCTTAAATTTTGGCCAAGGTTTTTTTTGCAGTGTGGAGCTGAAATCATCCAAATGATTCTAGAGAAAGTTTAAAAACTGTGAAAACACGGTGGAGCACTTCCTGTATTATCACATACAGAATGGATGAATGGCTATGCACTTGCACCTCACAGCAGGAAGGGTCAGAGTTTCTGTGTGGAGTTTGCATGTTCTGTCTGGGCGAGTTTCCTACGGGCCCAAACCCAAAACATAAATCCTCCTGACCAAGTCTCGCAACAAGATCATGGAGATAAATCCCCGGCGCCCGTGTGCTGCTCACTGCTCCTGAAACGATGAAATGCAGAGGAATTTCCCTGCAGGGATAATAAAAAGCACTACTACAACATGACATCACAAGGTGGAACAGAGTGTTTCCAGTTTGAGAGAAGAACTCAGCCTAAATCTGCAGGTTTGTGAGTTAAACACGTGAATGAAACAAACACAAGTCCAGGTCTGTTTGTGACGAGGAAACTACATAACATAGATCAGAAAATAGAGTAAAACGGGATCTTTAAGTGGAAAATAAAAGCTACAAAATAGAAAAACACAATTTGTTTTTAGGAAAATAAAGTATATTTTAGCAGAAACCAGGTATTTGCAGATACTAAAAGCTAAACTATTGAGATCAGTATCGGAACTGAAAAAGGTGGATTCTCTGAACTTTGAACAAAGACTAAACCAGGACTAAGGTCAGACCAGAGCTGGGTTTAAACCAGGACTCAAACTAGACCAGAGACGGGTTTAGAGCCAGGTCCTCACTATCTGTGTTATCAACACCTGAGGACACGAGAACCAGGACTAAACCAAGACTAAACCGGGACTAAACCAAGTCTGAATGAGGACTAAACCAGGACTAAACCAAGACTAAACCAGGACTAAACCAAATCTGAATGAGGACTTAACCAGGTCTAAACCAGGAGTAAATCAGGACTAAACCAAGTCTGAATGAGGACTAAACCAGGACTAAACCAGGACTAAACCAAGTCTGAATGAGGACTAAACCAGGACTAAAAGTCTGAATGAGAGACTAAACCAGGACTAAACCAGGACTAAAACAAGACTAATAAACCAGGACTAAACCAAGTCTGAATGAGGACTAAACCAGGACTAAAACAAGACTAAACCAGGACTAAACCAAGTCTGAATGAGGACTAAACCAGGACTAAACCAAGTCTGAATGAGGACTAAACCAAGTCTGAATGAGGACTAAACCAGGACTAAACCAAGTCTGAATGAGGACTAAACCAGGACTAAACCAAGTCTGAATGAGGACTAAACCAGGACTAAACAAGCTGAAGGACTAAACCAAGTCTGAATGAGGACTAAACCAGGACTAAACCAGGACTAAACCAAGTCTGAATGAGTACTAAACCAGGACTAAACCAAGTCTGAATGAGGACTAAACCAGGACTAAACCAAGTCTGAATGAGGACTAAACCAAGACTAAACCTAGTCTGAATGAGGACTAAACCAGGACTAAACCAGGACTAAAACAAGACTATAAACCACGACTAAACCAAGTTTGAATGAGGACTAAACCAGGACTAAACCAGGACTAAACCAAGTCTGAATGAGGACTAAACCAGGTCTGAGCCAGGTTTTAACCAGGACTCAAACCAGACCAGAGTGGGGTTTATCCGGGCCTCAGAGTCCGTGGGAGTGAGACCTCTTGCGTGGTAAAAGATCTGAGCAGAAGCAGCACGTCCGACAGGAAGTGGCTCGTTAGGAAGCATTAATATTAGATTAGAATCGATCTACACTCACACTCACAGCCATAAAACCAGAGCAGCGCCAAAACCTGGTCTAGGTCCAGGTCCAGACCCCGTCCAGGTCCTGGTTTAGACGTGTCTTGTCTTGAGTGTTTCTCACTCTTGTTTATCAGGTTTTATCAGAACTGATAAGAAGAGTCACAGTGTCCTCACAATCTGTTATCAACACCTGAGGACACGAGGACTAAACCAGGACTAAACCAGGACTAAACCAGGACTAAACCAGGACTGAAACCAGGACTGAACCAGACTAAACCAGGACTGAACCAGGACTAAACCAGGACTAAACCAGGAACCAGGACTGAACCAGGACTGACTAAACCAGGACTAAACCAGGACTAAACCAGGAAACCAGGACTAAAACCAGGACTGACTAAACCAGGGACTGAACCAGGACTGAACCAGGACTAAACCAGGACTGAACCAGGAAACCAGGACTAAACCAGGACTGAACCAGGGACTAAACCAGGACTAAACCAGGACTGAACCAGGACTAAAACCAGGACTGAACCAGGACTAAACACTGAAACCAGGACTAAACCAGACTAAACCAGGACTAAACCAGGACTAAACCAGGACTGAAAACAGGACTAACCAGGACTAAACCAGGACTAAACCAGGACTAAACCAGGACTGAACCAGGACTAAACCAGGACTAAACCAGGACTAAACCACTGAACCAGGACTAAACCAGGACTAAACCAGGACTGACTGAACCAGGACTGAACCAGGACTGAACCAGGACTAAAACCAAGACTAAACCAGGACTAAACCAAGACTGAACCAGGACTAAACCAAGGACTAAACCAGGACTAAACCAAGACTGAACCAGACTAAACCAGACTAAAACCACCAGACTAAACCAGGACTAAACCAGGACTAAACCAGGACTGAACCAGGACTAAACCAGGACTAAACCAGGACTAAACCAAGGACTAAACCAAGACTAAACCAGGACTAAACCAAGACTAAACCAAGACTAAACCAGGACTAAAACCAGGACTGAACCAGGACTGAACCAGGACTGAACCAGGACTAAACCAGGACTAAACCAGGACTAAACCAGGACTGAACCAGGACTGAACCAGGACTAAAACCAGGACTAAACCAGGACTGAACCAGGACTGAACCAGGACTGAACCAGACTAAACCAGAACTAAACCAGGACTAAACCAGGACTGAACCAGACCAGGACTGAACCAGGACTAAACCAGGACTAAACCAGGACTGAACCAGGACTGAACCAGGACTAAACCAAGACTAAACCAGGACTGAACCAGACTGAACCAGGACTAAACCAGGACTAAACAGGACTGAACCAGGACTGAACCAGACTGAACCAGGACTAAACCAGGACTAACCAGGACTGAACCAGGACTAAACCAGGACTAAACCAGGACTAAACAGACTAAACCAGGACTGACTAAACCAGGACTAAACCAGGACTGAACCAGGACTAACCAGGACTGAACCAGGACTGAACCAGGACTAACAGGACTAAACCAGGACTAAAACCAGGACTGAAACAACCAGGACTAAACCAGGACTAAACCAGGACTAAACCAGGACTAAACCAGGACTAAACCAGGACTGAACCAGGACTGAACCAGGACTAAACCAGGACTGAACCAGAACCAGGACTGAACCAGGACTAAACCAGGACTGAACCAGACTAAACCAGGACTAAACCAGGACTGAACCAGGACTGAACCAGGACTAAACCAGGACTAAACCAGGACTGAACCAGGACTGAACCAGGACTGAACCAAGACTAAACCAGGACTAAACCAGACTGAACCAAACCAGACTAAACCAGGACTAAACCAGGACTGAACCAGGACTGAACCAGGACTAAACCAGACTAAACCAGGACTAAACCAGGACTAAACCAGGACTAACCCAGGACTAAACCAGACTCTAACCAGGATAAAACCAGGACTAAACCAGGTCTGAACCAGGACTAACCAGGACTAAACCAGGACTGAACCAGGACTAACCCAGGACTAAAACCAGGACTAAACCAGGGTCTGAAACCAGGTCTGACTAAACCAGGACTAAACCAGGACTAAACCAGGACTAAACCAGGTTTAAACCAGGACTAAACCAGGTCTAAACACGGTCTAAGGTCTAAACCAGGTCTAAACCAGGTCTAAACCAGGACTGAACCAGGACTAAACCAGGACTAAACCAGGTCTGAACAAGGACTTAAACCAGGACTGAACCAGGACTGAACCAGGACTAAACCAGGACTAAACCAGGACTAAACCAGGACTAAACCAGGTCTAAACCAGTCTAAACCAGGTCTAAACCAGGTCTAAACCAGGTCTGAAACAGGACTAAATAATGACTAAACCAATTCGGAAACAGGACTAAACCAGGTCTAAACCAGGCGTAAACCAGGACTAAACCAGGACTAAACCAGGTCTGAACCAGGACATTTCAAACTCTTTAATTAGACAATAAAATGTGATTTTCAATTAAATCATAGTTTTTTTTTCTTTTATATTCCCATGTGGACTTATATCTGTGTCATCCCTCAGTGTGGTCCAGGTCTGGTCCAGGTCTGGTCCAGGTCTGGTCCAGGTCTGGTCCAGGTCTGGTCCAGGTCTAAACCAGGTCCATGTGCTCTTATACTTGTTCTGATGCAGCTCAAAATCCTTCTAAAACTTCAGGAAAGGTTCATTTCTGTGCTGAGAATCTGACTGTTTTAGTATCGAGAGAAGAAAAAAGAAAAGAGAGGAGGAGGAGAGGAGGAGAGGAGGAGAAGGAGGAGGAGAGGAGGAGAGGAGGAGAGGCTCGTGGGCACAAAGGCAGCGGGGATAGAACCCTCGGTCTGGGTCTTACGGTCTGTCTCCGTCTGTAGGTGAAGTTCTTCCACAGCAACAGTCCCAGCTGAGTCCAGGCCGACATCCTTCAGGGCCCTGCAACGAGACCACACGTGACGGGTCTATAACCGGACTAAACCAGGTCTACATCAAGGACTAAACCAGGTCTACATCAAGGACTAAACCAGGTCAGGTCTGTACCAAGGACTAAACCAGGTCTACACCAAGGACTAAACCAGGTCTGTACCAAGGACTAAACCAGGTCTACATCAAGGACTAAATCAAGGACTAAACCAGGTCTACACCAAGGACTAAACCAGGTCTACATCAAGGACTAAACCAGGTCTACATCAAGGACTAAACCAGGTCTACATCAAGGACTAAACCAGGTCTACATCAAGGACTAAACCAGGTCTACATCAAGGACTAAACCAGGTCTGTACCAAGGACTAAACCAGGTCTACATCAAGGACTAAACCAGGTCTACATCAAGGACTAAACAGGTTCAAGGATAACAGTCTACATCAAGGTAAAAGACTAAACCAAGGACTAAACCAGCTTGTACAAGGACTAAACCAGGTCTAAACATCATCAAGGACTAAACAGGTCTACATCAAGGACTAACCAGGTCTACATCAAGGAC